AAGCCTCATCTTTCTCCCGCGGAGCAGCTGGTAGTTTCGAACCACTGACCTTAAGGTTCGCAGCCCGATTCGTAACCACTACGCTACCAGAGTTGTAATAAATATAGTTGTAAATTATTAATTGTAATATTTCTTAGATGATATGAATAGTAACAACAAAATTGTCATGTAAAATCTTTTTACATTGAACATTATTACATTTTTACAACATTATTAGTAACTGAGCAGAAATGTTTAATTTCCTTTTATTACTATTTCATGCTCAAGATAATGTTATTGTTATAGGTTCACAAGTATCATATTGCAACAAATGCATCAGAAAATTTGAAAAAATAAGCAACTATAAAAACACCCGCAGTGATGAAAACAGTACGTGCTTGTAGCTCAGTGTAGAGGAAGCCGTGTCATTGGGTAATAATGACAGCTCTAGCCAGAGCACATTAGAAGACTCAAAATGTAATTAGCATAGATTTTTAGCCTTGTAGGTATACATGTAAGCTGAACTTACTAAAAATGTTTTTTTGTTGTTATAACTTACTACCAGGAGAATTTCACAGAAAATAACTAATTTCTGTTGAAACACTGTACAAAAAATAGTATAGACAGTCACTTTGGTGTCACCCTGTCTGACATGTCATCAAGAGGGACCAGTTCTGAGAGAAGGACATCATGCCTGGCTCAGTAGTTGTTGTTAGGTACCATCGAGTCAGTTCCAACTCATAGCGACCCTATACACAACAAAATGAAACGCCGCCACATCCGGCACCATCCTCACTATTGTGACTACACTTGAGCTCACTGCTGTTGTCACTGCCAATCCAGCTCCTTGGGCGGGGGTGGGGGGGTGGGGGGAGGCAGTCTTCCTCTGTTTCGCTGACCCTCCATTTTACCAAGTATGTATGATATCCTTCTCCAGGGGTGGTCCCACCTGAGAATATGTCCACAGTATGAGACACAATGTCTCACCATCCTTACTTCTGATGAGCATTCTGGTTGTACTTCTTCCTAGACAGAATTGTCTGTTCTTCCGGCAGTCCGCGGTGCGTTCAATATTAAAGTAGAGGATCAGCAAAAAAGAGGAAGATGTTCAGTAAGATGGATTGACACAGAGGCACCAACAATGCGCTTGGGCATAACAATGATTGTGAGGGCGCTGAGGGACTGGGCAGTGTCTCTTTTCTGCCATATGTAGGGTCATGAGTTGAAATCTACTCAATACCACCTAGCAACAACAACCACATCTGAGAGTGTTACTCACTGTGGTCCACATCCTCTGCATCCCCCTAGT